ATTCTTTTGCTTCCAGATGTAGGACTCCCTTAAGGATTTTTTGTAGGGTTGGTCTTGTGGTGGTGAATTCCTACAATTTTTTCTGTCTTGAAAAGGCACTATTCCTCCTTCATTACTGAAGTATAGCTCTGCTGGATATAGCATTTTTGGTTAGCAGTTTTTTCCTTTCAGCACTTTGAATACATCTTCCCACTCTCTTATGGGCCATAAGGTTTCTGCTGAGAAATCTCTTGTTGGTCTTATGGGGATTCCCTTACAGGTGGTTTGATGCTTTTCTCTTGCTGTTTTTAGAATTCTTTCTTTAACTTTTGACAATTTGACTACAATGTGTCTTGAAGATGACCGTTTCCGGTTGCATCTGTTTGGGGATCCTTGAGCCTCTTGGATCTGGAAGTCCATATCTCTCTCAATACTTAACGAAGTTTTTATTTTCAGCTATTATTTAGTTAAATAGGTTTTTGAAGTCTTTTCCCTTCTCTTTCCTGTCTGGAATACCCATAATATGGATATTTTTATGCTTAAAGTTGTCTCATAGTTCTTGTAGACTTTCTTCATTTTTTTATTCTTTTATCCTTTTTTTGGTTGTTGTTTGACTATGTTGTTTCAAAACACTTGTCTTCAAGTTTAGAAATTCTTTCTTCTGCTTGACTTAGCCTATTGCCCAAGTTCTTGGTTGTATTTTTTAAAATTTCATTTAATGAATTCTTCATTAAAAGATTTGGTTCTGTGTGAGTGCAGTATTGTAGTCTCCATATAATTTCTTTGACTGTATTTAATATGGGAGTTGTCTGAGTGTGTCTATGTGGCTTAGGGTCTTGGGCACTTGGCAGGCACCTCCTTGCTGTAGTGGACAACATAGAGCTGGATTGCAGGGGTCATGAACAAGGTCTTGAGCTCCTGGGAGAAGCATCAGGGTGCTCTGCACCTCCCCATCTGGAGTGTTTGACCTTGGGCAGGCTCGCTGATGCCCTGGCCAGGATCCTGTGCCCCTGACAGAGGCACAGGTGTTCTCTGCAGCTCCTCAGCTTAAACGTGTGACCCTGGGAAAGATTGCTGAGATTACAGTCAGGATTTTGACCTTTGAGAGAGACAATGAAGTGCTCAGCAGCTCCTTAGCTGAAGTGGGTGACCCTGGGTAGGGTCACTGGAGATTCAGGCTGGATCCCACACCCCCAAAGAGGTGCTGGGGCACTTTGTATCTCCTCAGCTGAAGTGGGCAACACTGGGCAAGGTGCCTGGAGCTCTGAGTGCCCCCAAGAGAGATGCTAACTTAGGAAATGGCCACTCTGGATAAAGTGGCTAATGTTTTGAGTGGGACTCTGCACCCCCAAGAGAGATGCTGGGGTGCGCTCCGCAGCTTCACCTTTGAAGTGGGCCGCTCTGGGTAAGCTCACTGAGGTTATGAGTGGGGCCCTACACCCTCAAGAGAGACACTGGGTTTCCCTGCAGTTCCACTGTTGGAGTGGGTCAGTCTGGGTGAGGCCTCTGTGGTCGTGGGTGGGCCCATGTGCCCCAGAGAGAGGTTCAGTTACTCTAAAGTTCAGCTAGAGTGAATCACTCCAGGTTAGTTTTTGGGGGTTGTAGGGAGGCCCCTACACCCTCAAGAGATGCTGGGGCACTCTGAATCTGCTCAGCTGAAGTGGGCTACTATGGGTGAGGTTTCTGGGGCTGTGGATGGGCCCCTACACTCCCAGCAAAACACTGGGTCACTCTTCAGCTCCTCAGATGTAGTGGGCAACCCCATAAAAGGTTGCTGGGGTTTGGGGTGGGTTCCTGTGCCCCCAAGAGAGATGCTGGGTCACTCTGAAGATCTTCAGTTGAAGTGGGCCAGTCTGGGTGACCTCTCCAGTGTTGTGGATGTGTCACTGCACCCCCAAGACAGACAGTGGGTCACTGCAGCTCCTCAGCTGGAGTGTGCTGCTCTATGCAAGGTCACTGGGGTTGTGAACAGGCCTCTGTGCCCCCAAGAAAGATGTTGATCATTCTATAGCTCCCTACTTGGGGTGGGTGGCCCTGGGCAGGCTCACTGGAGCTGCAGACAGGTGTGTCCCTGAGAGAGGTTTGTGGGAACTTCACTGTTTTTCAGCTGGAGTGTGTGGCTCTGGGTGGGTTTGCTTGAGCCATGGCAGGACTCTATGCCCCCGAGAGAGGTGCATAGGCACTCCACTGAATAGGACCACTACCAGTGGCAGAAGGCCCCAATTGGTCAGCTCTCTGGCTCTAGAAAGTTGTGCTCTGGCTCCCACTGTCCAGGGTGTGGCCTCTGCACTGCTCCAGACCCCCTGTTCCCAGGGTGCCGGGTGCCACATGGCCTCAGGTGCAAGAGTCCCAGATGATGAGGGGGCCTTAGGCCTGTGTAGATGCCAGGACTGTTAGGCTTCAGGGAAAAATGAACTCAGGTGTTGGCTCTGATCCTAAAATGGCAAGGTGCTGCAACAGCCTGGAACCTGGGTTGTGGGGGGCTCAGTGTGAACTTCCTCCCTGGATTATTGTAGTCCCATGGGCTCCCAGCAGCTCCCCACACAGGGTTCATGGCCTGAAAGGGCTGTGTGACTTCCATGCAGCTTGGATTGCAGGTATCTGTGGAGCAAATCTCCTTTACTTTCCCCTGCAGGCAGAAGTTCCTCCTGCTTCCCTGCTGCTCCTGGCTGGGGGATGGGGTGGTGGGGATCAAGTGTTTTCTTCCATTGTCTATGTGGCTATCCTCATTTTCTGTGCTCACTAGCATTTCTGTTACTCCTTTGATGTGGTCCAGTGCTCTTTACTTTTGTCCAACTGTACTTTTATATTCATTGTTTTGTCTGTCTTTGTGGGAGAGACAAGTGGTGGATACTTCTAGTGGGCCATCTTGCTCTGCCCCCAACTTCTTGTCAATTTTTAAACTGAGTTGTTGGACTTTTTGTTGCTAAGTTGTAAAAATTCTTTACATATTCTGAATACTAGACTCTCTCTCTCCTCTCTCTCTCTCTCTCTCTCTCTCTGTATATATGTACACACCCATATATGATTTGCAATTTTTCCCCCATTCTGTAAGTTGACTTTTCACTTTCCTTATAGTGTCCTTTGATGCACAATAGTTTTTAGTTTTGATAAAATCCAATTTATTTATTTCTTCTTTTGTTGCTTGAGCTTTTAGTGAAAGAATCCATGATCAAATCCAAGGTCATGAGGACTTACCCTTGTTTTTTTCTCTGAGTTTATCTTATGCACCTTTCGAGGAAGAAACCTGTCCTGAGGTGAGAATATATACTATGGTCATGCACAGTTGGCTTATGAAGAGCTTGATCCACAAGCACAAAATCACACTCAATTTAGCATCTAACTCAGGAGATATCCCCATGACTGTGGTCATTGATCATATCACATAACGTTTGGCCCAGAAGCAGTTGGCCTAACAGAGTATTGGAATGGCCTGCTGAAAACACAGTTGAAGCACCAGCACAGAGGCAATAACCTGTGAGGGTGGGGTACCATTTTCCTGGATTTCATCTACACACTGAATCTGAGACTGCTATAGGGCATTGTGTCCTCAAAAGGAAGAAATCATGGGGCTGGGAACAAGAGATAAATATAGGAGTAGCCCCATTTATCATCACTTCCTGTGATTCACTGTGGATTTGGTACTTCCTGTCTTGCAACTTTGGGTTTGGTAGGTTACCATTCTGATGCCCAAAGGAAGCTCATTCTTATCAAGGGGCAGAACAAAGATTTCATTGAACTACACATTGTAGCTGCTGCTGAGGCATTTTGGACTCTTCTGAAGCCAGTGGGCAAGGAGTCACCCTCTTTGCAGGGGTAATTGATCCTGATCAGAAGGGAGCAAGGTTGTTATTACACAATGGAGACAGGCAGGAATATGCATGGAAATGAGGTGATCCATTTGGGCACCTTTTTGGTACTTTCTTGTACAATTGTGACTGTGAATGGACAAGTACAGCAACTCCCACATGAAAAAGGTATCGCTATCAGTGATTCAGACCTCTCAGGAATGAGCGCTTGGGTCACACCATCAGATAATCCACCAAGACCTGTAGCAGTAGGTGATAGCTGCCAGGGGAATTCAGAATGGATAGCTGGGGATAGAGATGATGAGCACCAGCTGTGGCCGCATGACCAGCTGCAGTGACTAACATGGTTATCAATTTGTCCCACTAACCTCCCTTCTCTAACTCTTCCTCTCAGAATGAGAATCCTACTTGAAGAGTAGTTCCCAGGATGTGTATGGAGAAAGGGATTTATTTGGCACAAGGAGCAAAAAGCAACAGTCATGAAGTGTGCTGTTCAGATCTCCAACAGAGAACCATCCACAGGGAGTGCAGTTATCTGACAATCTCCAGTTGCAGACACCTTCAGGATCTTCCTTGAGCTTTTGAGCCAATGAACTAAGGCCACTCTTTCTGGGCAATCCACAGCCCATGACTGGGCATGGTTTTGTTACAAGGGCTCCTCATTTCTAGCTGGTGTAGGACTGGTGTAGATTGCCCTGTGAGCAATCTTTGTGCTGGAGCTCACTGTTAGGTTGGTTGAGATTTCCTCAGAATGAGAGTGCATTCTGAGGCTCTTTGTACCTAATCTTACTTCTTTTTCTCTTTTCACAAGAGCCGGACCTGCATCAGGGGCCATAAGATTTTTTTTCCTACTCGTGTTCCCTCTCCTCCTCATCTTTCATAGGCAATTGGAGGATTTTTATTACCTCCAATAAATATCTTGTACTTCTAGCTCCATCTTGGCCTCTTTTTTCCCAAAGGACATACTCTCATAGGTTTGAAAGTGTAATCACCACTGACAAATGAGAATATAGGCTTGGATAAATCGACTCACCTCAAGTAACACGGCTGTTAAGAGGAATATTTTTTCCTACTTAAATATTCATTTAGTGTCATGCTGAGAACTATACATGAAACCGTGTCAATGCTGCATAAGACATACTTCCTAATTTCCTAAAGTACCACTGTTAAAGTAAAGCCAAAACAAAATCACAACAAAACTGGGCAACTTAGTCATGTCACATTGGGAAAGAGCATAACATATTTATTTATTGAGAATTCATTTGTTCTATAAAAGTATATTTGATCATTCCACAATGTATTCAGGTATTGAAGCATCATACTGTACCCCATGAACATATACAATTATGATTTATCAATTAAAAGTAAAATAAAACTAAAAAAAAAAAACCCTGTATATTTGGCCAAAAATTAATTATTAGAGTTCAGGCAACTTTGTCACTCTAAAGGAATGTAGTACCTATCATCTTATGGGGAAGCCAAACCACAGGTACTGATAAAGTCAATGTCTATGGCTGCCAGACCCTACATTAGAACTTATTATCACCTTTTTATCTTATTTAACACTTCCATCAAATCAGCAAAGGAGATAAGTCCAGCTTTCTGACCTCAAGGTCAGTGCTCTGTTCCTCTGCCCTCTAAAATGGAGTATACACACCTTAAGAAATATGCAAGATACTAAATTACACAGGGTGACAAAAGGAAATAATCAAACTATATCTTATGACCTATAAATTTAAATGCATTACTAATAGTTAAAATAAGTTGACATTAGTTCATATTTTCTACATACAATAGTAGGGTATGTATAATCAAAATCGAGAGATAACTGTTAAAACTTAGTCTAAAAGTAACCAATCTTTAATGAGTCACTGTTAAAAATTTTTAAATACTTATGTACATAAATAAACAAGATTATTCACATTCCAAAAAATTTCACACAAAAGTTTTGGTGTATTTAGTACGATGCATATTTAACTGTCAACAACATGCACAATTTCATGAAAACGCAGGGTGACTCAGTCTACTGATGCACCAGAACTTTAGTTAAATTGTGTAATGACCCAGGATATCAGACACACTTAGAATGATACATCAAAACCAAAGATAAGGAATTCAGCAATACCCTTTATCTAGACTATCTCTCACACATACCCGAGGATAAAGCATGGAGTTGGAAAACATTAAAAATTAAAATTCTACATTACATATATAGATATCTCCACCTCATTTTATATTTAGAACAATGTCTATCATTATTTCTCACACAAAGTATTAGCCATAGCCCTCCACTCCCATTACAAATATAGAAAAATTACAGCCTTTAACCATTAGTTCTTAATTCTGATGACGCTTTGAAGATTATATGTCAGTTGAGTCTACAGTGACGTCTTTAGTCATGACAAAAACTGAAATAAAGATCTAATGAATTTAGATGGGATGCCTAATTTTTATACATACAATTCTGATATAGAGAACTGATGATATAGTGTTTTTACAACACACATATATTTAATTACTAGACATCCCTTAAGGTTAGATTTTACCCCTAATTACATCCATACCTAGGTTAAAACAAGTAGCCATTTTAATACTAAAAATGTTCAAGTGCAAACAACATCAATTTTTACAGAATATATTGAAGGGAACATGAGAGTAAGGTATTGCCATTAATATTCATTCATTCACTAATTCATATATATTTGCTGAGTGCCTGCTATTTGCTATACTCTATTTTAGGCATTGTGGATGTAGCAGCGAACCAAACAGATGATTACTGTCCACAAAACTTACATTCCAGTGGAGATGGGAACAAAGTAAATACATAAGTTATTGCTATATACATATACACTATATATAAAATACGTCATAAGTGCCATGGAGAAAAATGCAGGAAAGGAGAACAGGAAGCGCTAGTGTGGGATCCAAGTTTAAACATGGTTCTCAGGCAAGGCCATTCTGCAAAGGTGACAATTAAGCAAAAGCCCAAAGAGGGCGAGGAAGCAAGCCACATAAGTACTTGAGAAAAGAGTGCTTCAGAGAGAGAAAAGAGCACTGATGTTTTACTACAGGCATAGCCTAATAAAAGTACAAGCAACATGCTCTTTTTATAAAGCTGCAATTTCAAAACATTAAAAAAATGAGGGTACTTCAAAAAGTTTGTGGAAATATACAATGAAAAGATAATACAAATCTTTCCATGAACTTTCTGAAGTACCCGTGAATTCTAAAGATGATAACCTCCCCCCAAACTCTGGACCCCATCCCCATGAATACTTTAAGTTGCCATCAGAGACGATGACTCACTGAGTATCAAACTTGAAGAATGATGTTAAGGATAGAAACTTTGTAACAATTATCTTGAATTCCAGCTTCTGGAATATGCAGAGATGGAAATTCCTAGTCTATGTGTAAAGATTGAATGGTGTATCTCAGGTGTGAGAACCCTTCTGAAGTCAGTTCCAGGCATGATTAGGAAGCCAGGATAATTCAGGAAAAGGCTGAGTCCACGTAAGGTAATGGAGCTGACTGAAGCTCCATAGTCCACTCCAGAATTAACGGAGTGGAGAAATATTCAGGCATCAAGCACTCCTAGGGACCTTTGCAGACTAAAGCTGCCTAACCTCTTCCCCATTGTGCAGGTATGGCCTAAATTCTAACTGCTAAAATCATGAGTCGCTGGTTATGGCAAAAAGGTTCTAAAAGATGACACCTACCATAAACAATTATGTTGTTAAACCTTCTGCTAAAAATCTCTTTGGGGATGAAAAGGGTCACATATTTAGGTATATATGTTAAATCTGGGAAAACTAAGGCATACACAGCAGTTGAGAGCCTGGATTTGAAGCCACAGTGTGGAGTTTAAATCCCAGCTTTCTCACTTGGTAGGTAGGTGGCCCTGGGTGTTTCTTAAAGTCTGTGTTTTAATCCCCTAATCTTTAAAAGGGAATAATAGTATCCACCCCATAGAGTTGTTATGATGAAGCCTGAATTAATATTTGAAAAACTGCTTAGAACACTGGCTGGAAGATATGAAGCCACTCTATAAATGCTTTTTAAATAAAACAGAGTATGATCCTCATTTGAACTTCCTTCGCAATACTACTTCCAAACACTTACCTCTCTCACTTTCATCAAAGAAAAAAGATTTACTGACATTTCCCGAGACTCTCTTTGATACAGAAATGTTTAAAACAGAACTCTTTTATACATTATGAATCTAGAAACTCCACCAACATTATATCAAACCTTTAACTGATTTTCAAAGTGAATGGTATAAAAAATAGATGACCAAAAAGATTATCAAATGAATACTTTATTAGAGTCATAACACTTATAAAATAAATTTCTTTTCATCATGGAGTTACCAGATTTTCAAACCAACACTTTCTCATTTTTATAGCTAAAATATGTAAAGAAATTCATAAATGCCATAATTTTTGTTCAAGTCCTTTGTCATTCAGCTCACAAATTTAGAATGCTAGAATGCTATTAATCTATAAATCTAAGTATTCACAGTTAGATGAGTTTTAGGCTTGGTTCTTAATGATCTAGAAGCAATCCATTTATAAAAGTGCCACCAAAGCATTTTAACAAAATCATTTAATTTAATGCCACCAGGCATGGACCTCTTATACTTTGGAAACAAAAACAAAATCTCACAACTAAATTCTAGCAGATTAACTTTAAATGATTCTAACTAGAATGGACTTATATATCCTTATGGCACATTTATGACTTTGTAACGTGTAATTCATAATACAGGGTTAGGTGTGTGGTATGAAGCTAGAAAAACCTAGTCTGATATTATACAAAAGATATAACATGACAATAAAGTCATAAGACTGATTTCCTCAAGACACATATTGAAACAGTCTTTTGTCTTCATAACTTTATCGCGCACGAAGCCAAGCTCTAACAAGGTTCTTCTTTCTAGGGGATTATTAGATAAACAGCATTTGATTACTGAGCACTGATCATGCTACTCACTCATGGCTATTCTATGTTCCATGAAATCTAATAGCCTAACTTATACATGGCACTTGCAGGGGATGATTCAGACAGAAAGCAAAGAGCTGAAAGAATAGTGTAATCCAAAACCCCTCTCATCCCAGAAGTAGTCCTCTGGGGACAAGAGACACCTACCTTGCTTGGATAGCATATTGAGAACTGTGGCCTAACTCTAACTTCTTCTCCCATTCAAGCCATTTTGGCACATTTCCATGACCAGGATCTGTACAGGTGGGTTAAAATACTTTTCTGTGATATTCGGCCAGAGACAGTGTTTGTGCTGTCTATTGTTTTAAAATTGCTATTGCCTATCTGTTACCAATAGGGAAAAAACCCCAAAAACAAAAACATAGATGTCTGGGATATTATCAAAACATAAGAATCTACAACTTTGTTATATTTAATACTTCATTCAAATTTAACTGAGAAAGTAATGCAAAGTAATTAGAAGTAAAAAGTTAACTCTTCTGGGAGCTCTATTTGGAAAAGGCTCACATATCCACACACAAATATTTGAACATTCATGCACAGAGGAAACAGCTGTATTCTGAAGCATAAATAAATCCAATGTAAAACATAAGTAGCTAGATACCATTCCAGTAGTTACTAATGGTCTCCAGGGATCCCATTTTAAAGACTTTCAGATGAGAGTCTTGCTCAGTTGTTAGGAGATCATTAGTTTGATTAAACAACTAGGGTTCACTTAATATATTGCTTGTTCCTATACCCAAAACATTGCTTCAGTTAGCTTGAGAAACTATATACCCTTCCAAGGGTATTTGACAACACAAAGGCAATGTGATTATTGCATATGAGATTAAATATTATGTTGCTTGTCTAATTAGGTTTATAACCTTTCATGATCAATTAAATAAAATACAGAACACTTAACTACAGTTTACAACAGAGGTTAACAAAATATAGCCTGTGGGCCAAATCTAGCCTCCCTGCTGTTTTTGTAAGTAAAGTTTTATTAGAACACAGCCACATTCATTTATGTATTGTCTTATAGCTACTTTCAAGTTACAACAGCAGAATTGAATAGTTGCAACAGAGACTGTATGGCCCATATAATATTCACCATCTGGCCTATTATAGAAAAAAGGTGCCAGTCCCTGTTTTACACTAAAAGATTGAGTTCAATGGGAAGTCTATTTGAAATGTGTTTAGGGAGCCTTAGTTACCTATTAAAATTAAGGTTTAGGTACTCAGCAACAAAACAAAGGGATACTACTTTTTATGAACAATATGAATACAAAGAGAAAATTTTCTTAAAAAAAAAAAGAAACATATAAAATTGAAGGCTATTTCTCCACTCAATATCAAAATAAAATTAAAATTCCATCCATGAAATAAACCAAAACTTGCACTTAGTTTCTCTTTCTACACTAAACAAATTGGAAGGTTGTTACATCTGGATAAAATGGTATCCAGACTGATCAGAGATACAAAGTAGACATAAAACTAACGCACGACTGTTAGTTTCTAAGGAGTGTTATGGTCTCCACCTTCGTAAAGCCAGAGCCAAACTGCAACCATAACAAGCTGTCGTCACAAAGGCAAAAATCTAAGAAAAAAGAAACAAAAATTAACATCAGATTTATAATACTGACTTGAAGAAAATACTATCCTAAGAGACAAGTATATTATAAAGACTGATCAACCCACCTAAAGACACTTCAACATGTACAAAAATATTTTATACTGGTCTCTTTTTGGATGATTTGTACAACTGTTTTACCCCCTCACACCATCACCCCTTCCTTTTAACATTCTCATCACTAATAATTTAATAATAATTTGTAGACAGCCTTATGTTGAACATTTGTTCACATACTAGGCTTGCTTATTAATTATTTGTGAAACTCCAGGCACTGTATTCAAAAATTCAGTTTGAGGTCTATTGAGACAGTGGCTTCACAGCCGAGGAAGATTGCAACTATGAGAAAATGAGGATGTATCAAATCATTTCTGCGACAATGGAAAGTGGCTTTCGAACTCAACAAAGAAAACCCCAAAAATGCATCATCACATTGGCTCTTTCGTGTGGGGGAGACGGTCTTCACATGCAATTCTGCACTCTGCTCTGAGATGCTGTCCTTAGTGTTCAATGAGGATTTGTTTAGCACTAACTATGTGTACATTACTACACTGGGTGCATATAAACAAATAGTAGATATTGTCCTCATTGTTTTGGGGTTTATGATCCATAGAGAACTCTGAGGCAAAGCAGTTCAATGTGATAAAACATTATGATTTAGTGTGGGGATTCTTAAGCAGGAAAGTAGCTCTGGGAAGAAATACCAGATTCACCTATAGAACATTTTTGCAGTATAGTTACCATTCTGCTATTCTTCCTGCCCTTCTGCTGGTCGTTTCTCTGATACATTTCTAATCTAGATGTTATCCTCTGAATGAGAAGAGCCACCTCTGATGTCTATTATTAGTGTAAGGGAATTTTCCTTTCTTTCAGGTATAATGCAAGAAAAAGAAAAGTGAAGGACTCAATCTAATGCCACAAATGAATGGCTGATGCATTTTAGTGCTATTAAAACTCAGAAACTAGAGATTTACTTAGACTGGAGTGTATGGATGAAATGGAACTTAATGTAGAACTTGACGCATGTAAAGGTTTATTGAGGAAGCTTCATGTAGGTGGAGAGAGAAAGGAAAGGATAACAGGGACAAAGTCACAGAGGAGGGACAGCCAGACAGAATTACACTATGGAGGACACTGAAAACTCTGGGACCTCACAGCAAAGTCACGTTGGTGAGAACTTAATGACATCAGCCAATCATTATGTACTTGCGTACCTACTATTCTGTGAAGAAAGTAGGATCTTACAGTGACTATCAATAGACCTGCGTGGGGCTACTTCAGTGATCCAAGAGAGGTAATGAGAATTCAGCCTGCGTCTCTGAAAAGGAGGGGTTGGAAATAAACATGTAAAGGAAAATCCTAATGGGAATTGATAACTAATAGAAAGAAAAAAGGTCAGCTCCAAGTCTCTGAACTTTGTTTTGTAAAATTGTTAAAAACCAATGGTTTTTGAACTGTGATCTTTACATCATAAGGATTTCATGTAAATACCTCAGAGATGATTAGGTGGGGAGACTTGGTTTCAAAGAAAGGAAGGGCAGCATTCAAGGCCCTTTTCCTCCACTTTCACCTAGGGCAGCTATACTTTTATCTTCTACATTTACTGGGTTTTAAGTAAAATTTCATTAAATAAAATGGTTTCATTTCTTATAAAAGAAAGTGTTAAAATCACTGATCTAAACTATAAACCTTTCAAAGCTAGAACCATGCCTCATTTCTGATGCAATACTACCTTCAGTCTAATGCACTGTAGGCACTCAGCAAATTCTGACAAATCCTTACAGAGACTTGGGAAACTTATAATAATAGGACTTGAAATCATCTGTTGTCTACACTTCAAAACCCAGACTCTAGACTTGTGTTGTCCAATATAATAGCTACTAGCCACCTGTGGCTAAATTAATTTAAATTAACTTTAAATTTATTAAAATTAAATGACATTAAAACTTTATTATTTTAGTCATACTAGCTACATTTTAGTTGCTCAATAGTCACATGTGGCTAGTGGATACATAGGCACATATATAGAATGTTCCTGTCATTGTAGAAAGTTTTACTGGGCAGTGCCACTCCAGATAGATTTCAATAACTATATGGAAAGTATTAGGTTATTTATAGGCTACATGGGTAATACAGTAAAACAACAGGGTGAGTAACTAGCTATATAATCATATTAAATATCAAGGCATTTCAAGAAATAATTTAAACATCTGACATCTTAAAAATGATCTATAAAAACTAAAATGATGTATCATTTCTTCAAATGACCTATGTCAATACAAAATGACAAATTTACTCCAGTGTATGAATTAAAGAGGATAAAAGAATTCAAAAAATTTCCCCAGGGAATGCATTTCATGTGTATATCATCTGTTGCAATGGCTAGCATATTTGCCTCCCGGACTCACCTGCACTTTGCTCAACGGCAGGAACTGCAACTTATTCACCCCGCGCAAACACCCAGCAAACTACCTGCCACAGGGTAGGCCCATGGTAAGTATTCACCGAATTAAGATGAATTACAAATAGGTATCGAATAAGAAAGAGCAAAGCTGGAAACAAATCTCTCTTACCATGTCTGAAATTTATAAGAAGTAGAAAGCACAGTTAATTTTTACAAAGGAGACTTTGCTGTGCAAAGCCAAGCAACACTACTGACTCTATAATCTCACATGAATGTCAACCTCTTTGTGCGTCAGTTTAATCATCCACAACACAGGGGGTGAGACAGTACTTTGCTTGCAGGGTTACTGTGAAGACAAAAAGCTATTATATGTTTAATGCTAACAACTGTTATTAAAGAGAACTACTGTCACCTGAGGAGCTTCCTGGAAACCTTAACGGTGGAGGGGAAGTGCTGGTGAACTGTACTCATTGCATACTTACTGTGGCTGCTACGTTTATGTTATACTGGTTATCGCTCAGGAGCGGCTGCACAGTCATGGTTGTATTGCAATGCAGATCGTGCAGGGATGTGGCTGCTGCTTCCAATAAGAAGGCTCCAAAGTAGAAGACAAACACTGTAAAATGGTAGGCAAAATCCTAAAAGAAAGAAGAAAAGAGAAAAGACAAGACATCTACAATTAAAAATAATAAGATTTCTTATGTTGTCTTCTTTATTTCAAATGATGAAGTTTAGGGTCAGGAGGATCAGAACATTTAATCAGACAGTCTTGACTACATTCATGGTTTATTTTGGCTGCTTTAGCAATGTCAGGCTATTAGAATGTAAATGAAAATCACCTATCCCATCTTAATTGGCACAGTGGCAAGCCTTCCGATATACTGAATTTCATGATAAAGTATATAATTTCTGTTTGAATTAAGATATCATGGAGATCAATATTAATTAACATAAAAAAGAAGCAACATATGCTGTCCTTGAAAATTCAAATAAAATAACATTTAAATTACATCTTTTTATTACAGTTATTATATATATATACACACATTTTATAATTGAGTACTTTACTTTTGAGCAATTATCATCATTAGATCATTATTCCATACACTGAAAGATACAGAAAATTTATTAAATCATAGAATTCAATAACATAAATACCTATATTTCATTAAAAATAAATATCAAATATATACTTCTACAGAAAATATAGCAACTCAATTATTTATTAGGTTATTCTATATATTGTTGGCATTAATGTGAAGCATTACTCTATGAAAATTCACAGTCTTACCTGAATTAACATACTATCAACACACTGCTGTTTATTTTTAACAGTTCCCATATCCTACGTACTTTATATGCATTAGTACTCATCTTTACAAACCCCAGTTATTATCTCCATTTTACAGAGAATTTCTTCTTTCTTTTCAGTTAAATGTCCCAAAGCCACACAAATATAAACTTTTGGAGGGAGAATGCACATCCATATAGTCTACCTGGTTCCAAATATCACTTTTAAAAAAAATTAATTAGTTTAATTGAAAAATAAAAATTGTGTACATTTATCTTGTAAAACGTTGTACTGAAATATGAACACATTGTGGAATAGCTAAACTGAGCTAATTAGCATATGTGTTACCTCACATACTTATTTTTAGTGGTGAGAACACTTAAAATATACTCTTCTCAGCAATTTTCAAGAATGTAACACATTGTTATTAACTATAGTCATCCTGTTGTACAATAGATCCCTTGAACTTACTCCTCCTGTCTAACAAAATTTTGTGTCCTTTGACCACCATCTCCCCCGCCTCCCCTCCCCTCCCCTCAGCTCCTGGTAGTCACTATTCTACTCTCTGCTTCTATGAGCTTAACTTTTTAGATTCCACATATAAGTGAGATCATGCAGTATTTGACTTTCTGTGCCTGGCTTCTTTCACTTAACATGACGTCCTCTAGGTTCATTCATGTTGTGAATGACAGGATTTCCTCCTTTTTTTAAGGTTAAATAGTATATATATAACACATTTGAAAAAAATCTATTTATCCATTGATAGTCACTTAGGTTGATTCCATATCTGGGCTACTGTGAATAGTGCTGCAATGAATATGGGGGTGCAGGTACCTCTGACTGATTTCATTTCCTTTGGATATTTACCCAGTAGTGGCACTGCTGGATTATACGGTACTTCTATTTATTATTTTATGAGGAATCTCTACACTGCTTTCTATAATAGCTGCACTAACTTATATTCCCACCAACAGTGTGCAAGTGTTCCCTTCAAAGGCCACTTTCTTTCCTATCAAACCATCTCTATCATTGATATAGCAATATTACAAAAGAGAACTGTATAAGCCCCTGCAGTAAATAACATTGTCCACAGGAATTGTTCTTATGCCTAGAATAATATGCTAGGACAAATTTCACTAACCAGGTGTGAGAATTAAGAAGGTCCAGTGTTAAAAATGCTTCCTAATAAACATCTCTCATTCATGGATTGACCCACCAATGCCCTCAGTAGATTTAGGAAAAGTAGTACATACTGGCCACATGTCTAATCTACAGGAGAGATTCTCATACACATGTGGTTATTCAACAAATGCTACTTGATGTAGGCCCAAATTCAAATGTTACCACTTTTAGGGATTAAATGTAATAGAGCTAGATCCTAATTAGTAATAAAAATTAAGAGAAAATATCTTTGAGATCATTAGGCACTCATTTAATTTACTGAGGTAGATCCTCAGAAATGGTGTATTTTTTCTTGGCAGGAAAAAGTCTGGCAACATGGCCTGCAACCCTTAGCATAATCTGGCCCTTGCCTTCTCCACCAGCTCATACCTCTCTGAACATCAGCGACTTTCGCCTCATTTTGGTGCCTAGGAAGCCCTCTATGCCTCAAGGATGACACTCTTATACACGGTACTGTCTCTGCCTGGAAAGATTCCTCCCACAAGCAATTACTGCTTGTACCTGCCCTTCCCTCTTTCTATTCCTGCCCAATTTTACTTCCTCCCTCTTTCTCAGGAGTATCAGCATTGAATTGTGGTTTGAAGGTTTTCCTTGTCCAATCCTGTTTCGTCCCCTTTTACCTTTCATAGGGATTACTACCCAATAAAGTTCTTGCACTCCTAACTCCATATGCTTGTGTCATCTTATCTAGCTATCCTTAGGGTCACACCTCATGGTGTTGAGGGAAAAATGTAATGTGAAATTTAAGGCAATGCCAGTGGGGAAAAACACTATGTAGGCTCCTGAAGTTCTAGACGTATGTGACTTGCAGTGGAGAATTTCAAGTCTTTGAAAAGCAGCTCCTGGTGTACTATGGGCCTCAGTAGAGAAGAAACACTTGATCTTGAGACACCACGTGACCAAGCACCCAGAACTGCTTATTATAAGTTGTATTCTACAGAAGCCACCAAGTCACAAAGTCAGGCAGGCCAGCAGCAGTCTTCTTAAGATGGGAATGACACATCTGAGATCAACTTGATCAGCTGCATGAACAGGTAGCTCAGGCTTCCATATCAACTACCAGAGTGGAAGTGCTCTCCTTCCTCTGCACATACCTGTGGCCACATGGAGGCAGGATTCCCTTATGTCCAACTGAAGGAGGAAGAAAAAAAGCTAAGCTTTGTTTATGGAAGAGTTAGCCTGGTGTGGTTGCAAGGTGAGAGGGACAGTGGCTGTGTTACATGTGCATTATAGCCACATTCAGGGTTAGCTTTGAACAGTGGTTAGGAAATATTTTCACAATGGGTGGAGCTATGAGTGGCACAGCATGTCACCCACTTTGTTTGGAAAGAAAAGTGGCCCAAGGTGAAAATAGACATAGACTCACGGTCAGTGGTGAATACCCTGCCAGGCTGGTCAGGGTCATGGGAGAAAAAAGATTAAAGGTTCAGACACAAGGAAGGGATGTGGGATTAGGCATGAAGTGTGAAGATCTTTCTGACACACAGTAATGCCCATCAGAAGCATCACCACGGAATGCCACATAGATAAAATGACCTTGTCACTTGATGTCAGCCAGCCTTTGTCATCAGCCACTCCATAACTGGCATATGGGCACATAAACAGAGTGGCCATGGTTGGGGGAAGGCAGCTATGGAAAGGCCCAATAGAATGGACTCTCAATTGTCAATGGTGATCAAGCTACTGTCTCCTCTGAATGTTGAACCTGCCAGCAACAGAGACCAACTCTAAGCCCCTGATATTGGCATTATTCTCTAGGGGACCAACCAGCCATATGTAGTGAGCTGGTGAAAACTGAGCTTCTACCTTCCTGAAAAACAAAACAGTTCATTTTCACAAGAACAGATACCCATAAAGGTTCATTCTCACAAGAACAGACATACCCAGGGTATGGATTTGCTTTTCCTTTCCTTAGAGCCTCAGCTACCACCTCTATCCAGGAACTTACAGAGTTCCTGATACATAGGCATTGACTCAACAAAGCCTCTAGCCAAGTAATCAACTTCTCAGCCAAGGAGGAGTGGAAATGGGTACACAACCATGGGTTGTGTGATATACTGCAGCACCATCTAGATGCTGCTGGCCTGATGGCACAATGGAATGGCTGGCTGAAGGATGAAGGCTGAAGCCACAGCTTGGAGGCATTAGTCTGCAAGGATGGGTGGCCATCCACCAGGATGCAGTAGATACACTGAAGAAGAGTTTTCTATATGGTTTTGTGTCCCCATTGGAAGAATGGGAACCAAGGGGTGGAAGTAGGAGTTTCTACACTTACCATCACTCCCACAACCTGCTGAAAGACTTTGTGATTTCTGTCCTCACAACGCTGGGCTTTGCATGGTCAGAGGTCCTGGTCCCCAGAGGGGTGTACTTTTGCTATAGGATACAGCAAAGGTCCCACTGAACCACAAGCTATAGCTACTTTCCAGCCACTTTGGACTCTTTGTGTCCAGAAACCAAAAGACAAGAAGAGGAGCTACCATCTTGACAGGGGTAGTTGACCCTTATCCTCAAGACAATGGAGGGCTGCTGGAGGACAGGAGGGCAGGGAGGAGTACGTGTGGCCCTGGCATATGTACCACAAGGAGGGCAGGAGAGAACATATGTAGGACTCATGTTTGGAAGTTCTCCAATTGTGACTAAAAATGGACAAGTGCAGCCACACAGGCCTGAAAAGGGTGTGGTTACCAGGGACTCGGACTCCCTCAGAGATGAGGGTTTGGATACACCAGCAGGTAAGCCACCAAGACCAGCAGACATGAGAGTTAGGCAGGGGGAATGCAAAATGGTCAGTTGGAAGAGGGAGATGGTACCAGTTGTGACCCCGAGACTAACTCCAGTGAAAGGTGCTGTCATTGTCCCTCTAATCTCTCTCTTTTTTAAGTCTTACACTAAAATCCTGGAGGAGCAACTCCCCAAATTTGTACAGAGAAGAGGATCATGGGGTGCAAGGGGTAGACTGCAGCATCTGTAACTGGGCATTGCACACATTTTCCTTCAAGAAAAATTTGCTGTTCAGCTGGGAGGAGTCTAGGCAGCCTCTAGCCTCAGGGGATCTGAGATATGCTAAGGTGTTTGAGCCAAGGCCTCATTCTTCCTGGGTGGCTCCCAACTAATGAAAGACAGCACAGTGTGGATATCAGTGCCTGGCCACCTGTGTCCAAC